CGGGTGCCTTCTCTGTCCTAAATGCCTTCTCTATGCATGGACAACTACGAAGCCATCAGGAAGAATGGGCCAGCCCCATAGGACTCATGTGGGATCCATGGTATAAAAAATGGAAACAGCAAGGTGCCGTAGAGTGTACAACGTCTGAGATTTCAAAGAAAGAATGTGCACTTTCTTTTTTTTTTTTTTTAATATTTTACTTATTTATTTGACAGAGATCACAAGTAGGCAGAAAGGTAGGCAGAGAGAGAGGAGGAAGCAGGCTCCCTGCCAAGCAGAGAGCCCTATGCGGGGCTCGATCCCAGGACCCTGGAATCACGACCTGAGCTGAAGGCAGAGGCTTTAACCCACTGAGCCACCCAGGCGCCTCAGAATGTGCACTTTCAATATGTTTGGACACTCATAGAATGTCTCTGAAAGGAGACAAATGAAAATGCTAACAGTATTGCATGCGAGGAGAACAAAGTGGCTGAGGACAGGGTGGGAAGGAGACATCCTTTTTGCGGTGTTCTCTTTTGAGCCCTTTCATTGTTGGTCCCTATGTCTGTGTTACCTACTGAATTAGGCAATCAGAAGCAGACCCCGTCCCCTTAAGGAGTGTTGAGGGGGAGGAGGCAGCCCTGCTAACAATTGCAATCCACTTTGCTCATTGGTATCCCTGAGACTAGACACAGATAGTGAGAAAGGAGTCTAGGAGAGAGGACATCCAAGCTGGCTTGGGGGTGTCGGGGAATTTGGAATCATAATTGTGGCTGGAACCTCTCTCAGCTCAGCCTTGCCAGGGCCTAAAGAGCATAAGGAGAAGGGACCCGCCCTAGAGCTGCAGAGGCCGGGATACAAACTGCCGTCTGCGTGCCAAGCTAAGGAGCTGCGATTTTATCGTAATAGGAAATGGGCAGCTGTTATGGAATTTTCAGTAGGGGAGAGTGACCTGTGCGATTTGCTGTTTAGAGAGAGAATTCTGGCAGGAGCGTGGAAGGATAGATTAAGAGGGGCAAGGAGAGGCCGGGATACTGGTTATGAGGTTAATGCATGAATCTAGGTGAGCGGAGGCATATGGATGACCTGGGGCAAAGGAGGCAGAGGGCAGGGGAGCGATGACGGGGTTGTGGGGGAGCAAAACCCGAGACATGCAATCGGTCTCTAAGCTGCACGGAGACCACGCACAGATCCAGCTCTGCAGTTCTTGGTTTTCTCACTCTGGCATCTTCTGCACATTCAGGGCGCCAAAGCCCCCTGGCAGCTGGCAGGATGGGTCTGGAGGGGCCACTTCCTGGTCTGCCTGCCTGCCTACCTGCCTCCTCGCCCCAGGCTCCAGCGCCATGGCAAAGAGGGGCGGGGCCCGGGGGGGTGGGGTGGGAGAGAACAGAAAATTCTCCCCCGCCGTTCAACTCCTAGGTCTCTCTTATTTATGCCTCGCTCTCTCCCGACTCGAGTCGTCTCATTATTTCGAGCTGTACAGCTTGCTGCTTCCCTGGCTGGGCTCTCCCACCCCCGTGTGCGAAGTGTCAATCAAGCCGTCAGAGGAGCAGCTCAGCCTCACATCCTCCGAGGCTCTGCCCCAGGACACAAGCCGCAATTGCTGACACACAGCAGCGCGGTCTAGGGCTGCTGGCTCTTTCTTTAATAGTCTTCCGATCCAAAATGGGTGTTAAAATGGAATTCGAGGGGATCGCTTCTCTCTGCCTGCCCCTGTCAGGACAGCCACAAGGACGGGCAACCCTGAGAGAGAGGGGAAGCCTTCAGAAGTCGATTTCCTTTTCATTTCAAGGTTGGGCCCCGGCCAGCGTCGGCTTTCCGAGGAGATGTTTGAAATTCTTAACAGGAAGCCGAATGCTCGAGTCCAGGAATCCAGGGCAGGCTTGTGAAGTAGGGATGGGGAGATGGAATTGTCATCTTATTTCTGAAGGGATATTATATTAAACAAAGGAGAGATGGGCTATAGAGCTGCTTTTGTAGCCTCCCTGGAGAACCGAACAATAAGAAACGGGTCCGGGGAGCGGGGGCGGGGCAGCAGGAAGAACTGAGGTTAGAACAAAGAAAGAACTTCCCCGGCCCTGGACCCAGTGACCAGGGAGATCTGAGGAATCGGCTTCCCCAGGGGATTCCTCCTCCTTTTACAAATTGTGAATGGAAGCACAGTTTTGATAGAATATGGAAGCTAATGAGCATTAAGCCTAATTACTGTGCCAAATTCTCTTTAGAACTTTGATAACAGGCACACACAGAACTCACGGTTGTGATCCGAGTGTGTCTATTTGTGTTCTGTTCTTTTTCTCGGGATGATTTCCTACATACACACATTTCTATGTAGCCCACAGTCCACAGCTTGTCATTTTGAATCGCTACATAGTATTCCATTGTGTCAATGTGCCAGAATTTGCTCAGCGATTCCCTCTGGCTGGGTTGTTTCCAATTTTCTATATTGTAAGTGCACGGCTATGAATGTCTTTATACAAATGTCTTTTTCTTCCCTAGGATATTTCCTGGGGGTATGATTCCCTGAGTCAGATTTCTAGATCAAAAGGTGTGAACCATTCGATCATGGGTGCACACTGCCCAGCTCTTTCCAGAAGGCCCAGACCATCTGAGTTGCCACCCTATTCTCTCCCCTTTCCCAGAGCACTGACAACAAGAGATTTTATCGTTTTTTTAAAATTTCTGCTTATTTAATAGGCACATAGTCGTACCTTGAAGTTACTTAATTCCCATTTCTTTCCCTGCAGGTGAGGCTGGGCACTTTCATGTGAAGATTTATTGTCTGCTTTTCCTTGTGTATAAACTGTTCATCTTCTCTGACATCTTATCAAGAGGAATCTGGGGGCTGACCTTACATATTTCTATCAAGCCTTTGCATATTTAAACAGTACACTTTTCCTGTTATGTCTACCATGTTTTACCTGTAAGGGAAATGTCCGGTTGTGAGGCAAATGCTAGCCCGTCCATGTGGGTTAGGGGTGAGGTGGAGTTGAGATGACTCCTGGACTCTAGAGTCATCTGAAGCCAGTCATATGGTACCCCCTCTCTGGACCCCCATTTTCTTAGTAAAGGAGGGGCTTGGTGGAGAAGACAGCTAGTTGCCCTGGTCCCCCCGGGAGCATCCTTTGCTGGGGGCAGGGGAGGGGGGACACTTTGCCAAGGCTGGGCAGCCACCTGGGGTCACACGGATTTCCTGATCCAGTATTTTTCCCTACTCACATATGGCCATGAAAGAAACAGCAGACTATTGAAATCAGAATCATCAGTACAAATTCTGATGAATCCCCAGTATGGCCTGGTGCTTAAGGGAACAGGATCAGGAGCAGATAACCCTAGATAATCAGGATCACATCTCAGTGCCTATGTTTACCAGGTATGTGGCTTTGTAAGCCTTAATGTCTTTGGCTGTAAAGAGATATTTCAGGGGCGCCTGGGTGGCTCAGTACGTTAAGCATCTGCCTTTGGCTCGGGTCACGATCCCGGAGTTCTGGTATCAAGTCCTGCGTCGGGCTCCCTCCTCTGTGGGGAGCCTGCTTCTTTCTCTCCCTCTGCACCTTCCCCCAGCTCCTGCTCTCTCCCTCTCAAATTTAAAAAAAAAAAAAAAAAAAAAAAAAAAAAAAAAGAGGTGTTTCAGGTATGGCTATATACCCCAAAATTTCGTGGCTAAAATAACTGTTTCTATTCTATCACAAGATTCTGTGGATCAGGAATTCAGGTGGGGCTTGGCTGGGTAATTTTCTTTCATGTGGCCTTAGTCGGGTCACTCAGTGGTACTGAGCTGGTGGCTGGGCTGAGCTGGGGGTCCAAGATGGCTTCCCCCGTCTGTCTGGCTCTCCATGCACTCTCAGGGCCTCTGTACATGGTCTTTCCCACAGGCTGGTGGGACCTCTCACATGGTGGCTCAGGGCTCCAAGAGGAGCTGCAGGACCAGAAGAGGAATTTCTCAGTGTCCTCAGGCCTGGGCCAGTGTCCCAGTGTCACTTCTGCTGTGTTGGTCACACTGTCACAGAGCCCATGGTGGGAGGAGTGACAAAGAATTGGGGGCCATCTTTAATGTGCCCAAAGTGGAGATAAACATATGTCCTCCTAGGGCTGCGGGAATTCAACGAGGTGATGTGTACAGAGACAGATTTACCATGAAGCTAACTTCAACCACAGGGCTCGTTAATTAGACAGTTTCTTTCTAGTCCCTAGCACCTAACTTTGGATTCATAAATTTTCTTTTCCTTTCCTTAAAGAAGATCCCCGAATTGTCTAAGAACTGGGCCCTAGAAATCCCAGCTCTGTCCTGAATACATGTAGTGGTACTTACTTAGCACACAGCCGGGCCCAGAGGGTGGCCGGCTCACTACAGGGCCCCTCTCTGCCCGGGGCTGGTGCCCAGTGCCCCCTCTGCGTCAGGAGAAGTCTCCTCTCATTCTGTCCTTCCCATTTGTTCAAGATAATTTCTTTTCCTGTGCAAAAAAATGAAAGTAAACCACACTGAGAATAATTTCATAATCACAAAACTGCCCTCCTGATTGTTTCCTGGGTCTACCCCCTGACCTCGCCACCCACAGGGGAGGTGGGCCTTACCCTGGGCAGAGTGCCAAGTCCTTAGCTCGGCCCTTTCAGAATCTCCAAAGGAAATCAGGCTGAAGGGAGGGAAGCCAGCAGGGGGAGGCAGCATTCCCGGTGCCCAGCTTGGTCTAGGAGGCATTGAAATTCCAGGGCCGAAGTCCCAGAGACAAAGATCATAATGAGACAGGAAGGTGGCATAGGAAGGATCCATTTGCATGACAATAATTGAGCCAAGAATAGAAAGCTAGGGGGATACAAGGGTGAGGCCGGCAGCTGAGCTGGGCTAAACCTCGGAAATCAGACTACCCAGTCCCGCTCTGCGGGGGAGGTGGGGGCTGAGCCCTAAGACAGGCTTTGCCTGGAGGGAGGAGCAGGGTAGAAGGACACAGCCCCAGGGGATTGTGGGAATGCTGGTCAGGCTGGACTTTGCCCTACTCCTCCTCCTTTAGCCCAGAGCTTACTTTTGCTTGCTTTCTCCTTTGTGTGTGGGCTTTGTAGCTGTAGGGCTAAGCGGGCATCATGGCTGCTCAGAAAGATCTCTGTGATGCCATTGTGATAGGGGCAGGCATCCAAGGCTGCTTCACAGCATACCACCTGGCCAAACACGGGAAGAGGGTCATCCTGCTGGAGCAGGTACTGTGTCCCCTCTGTACTCCCCACTTTAGGGACTGTCCCTCCCTCCTCCTCTAGCGAGAATTTTCCAGAGCCAGCAGGCTTTGGGGTGAGACCAAAGGGTCTGACTGTCAAATTTTGTGCAATTTGCAGCTTTGCTGCCTGGTGTGTTTCATGACAATGCAAAGAGTGTTCCACTCTCCCTAAGACCCACATTGGGTTTCCAGGCACATTTCCTCCTTTTCCTGCCTCCTGGTTCCTGCCCTTGATCAAGAAGTATCCCAGGTCCTATTCTCTTCCTTCCTGCCACTCAGTCTCTTCTGTGCCAAAATGTTTGATCCAGCCCAGAAAAATAATCCGTTCTGCTTTGGGTTACCTTAAATAAAAATAATTTTGCCCAGAGGGAAAAGCTGATTTGTCAGCCTAAGAGGTAGGATTCCTCCCTGGGTGTTCCTGGCCTCACACCTTGGAACCCAGCAGAGCCTTCTGTTTTTTTGTCCCCCCCCCCCACCCCACTACCTCTGGTTGATAGCAGCCTTATTGTTTGATACACCAGGAATAAGTAGGTCTTATTTGTCATTATAGAGAAGGTGACCCCATGCAGTCTATTCTACCGTGATCACTGCACATGTTAGGGGTAAGGGAGCTCTGTATCTCCAGGGTCCTTCCCAGGGCAGGTCCACACAGACCACTTTGCAAAGGCTTCTATCCTCCCATCCTGCCTACAGCTATCCCTGGGATATCCCCACCCAAAAGGTGGCTTTTGGTTCACTCTTCTTGGTAATGAACTGGGCTGGTTAGAAACATTTTTTGTTTCTCTCTCAGTTTTCAGAAAGCCTAAGGGATTCCTGGTCTAACCTTGCAGGAAACTCTCCATCTTTTGCTAAATCCCAAGGTGGTTCCCTTGTCCCAAGTGATCGGAACCCACAGAGAAAAATCATCAGCTTCCTTGTCCAGAAAATGAAGGGAGTTAATGGAAAACAGCCTGGAGTTTCCTCAAAAAGTTAAAAATAGAGCTACCCTACAATCCAGCAATTGCTCCCCTAGGTATTGGCCCAAAGGGTATAAAAATACAGATTTGAAAATGTACATGAGTCTATGGCCATACCACCCTGAATGCGCCCGATCTCGTCTGAAAATGTACATGTATCCCCAAGTTTAGAGTAGCATGATCAACAATAGTCAAACTACGGAAAGAGCCCAAGTGTCCATTGACAGATGAATGGATAAAGAAGATGTGGTATATATATACAATGGAATTAGCTATCAAAAAAATGGAACTCTTGCCATTTGCAGTGATGGGGATGGAACCAGAGTGTATCATGCTAAGTGAAATAAATTAGTCAGAGAAAGACAAATACCATATGATTTCACTCATATGTGGATTTTTTTTTCATGTGTGGAATTTAAGAAACAAAACTGATGAACATATGGGAGGGGGGAAAAAAAGAGAGGGAAACAAACCAGAAGAGACTCTTAACGATAGAGAACAAACTGAGGGTTGACAGAGGGAGGTGGGCAGGGGATGGGCTGGCTGGGTGATGGGGATTAAGGAGGGCACTTGCGGTGATGAGCACGGGCTGTTATAGGCAAGTGATGAATCACTAACTTCTACTCCTGAAACCGATATTACACCATATGTTAACTAACTAGAATTTAAATAAAATTTTTGGGAAAAAAAAAAAAAGAAGGGGCTAGACTGGAATGATCTCAAAGTTTCTTTCTGGTTATGCTTCTCAGGCACCTGGGTGGCTCAGTCGGTTAAGCGTCTGTTTTCAGCTCACGTCATGATCCCAGGGTCTTGGGATCGAGGTCCGCATCGGGCTCCCTGAGTCTGCTTCTCCCTCTGCGCACCCCCCATTCCCAGGCCCCATCTCTCATGAATAAATAAAATCTTTAAAAAACCAATTATGCTTCTCTATGAGACCAAGTGGGGAGGGGTTGCAGCAACATGACCAAAGACTAACTAACAGAGGGACTTAGGGAAGTGAGTAATGTTACCAAAAGGGAAGCTGAGTTAAGCTACTGAGAACATCTATGCTGTTGGCCAGATCAGTAACTTGGCCGTAAAGGGAGACTGTATGGAAATATTTAAAGAATAAGCGCTCCTGCCTGAAAACACACGAGGAGCTAGCTCCTAAGTGGGGGAAGGGACCGCGTGCAAGGGGTAACAGCTTCGGTTGTCTCTCTTGTTCTCCATTTCCAGTTTTTTCTACCACACTCCCGAGGAAGCTCCCATGGGCAGAGCCGGATAATCCGGAGGGCGTACCCCGAAGACTTTTACACCCAGATGATGGATGAGTGCTACCAGATATGGGCCCAGCTGGAGCGTGAGGCTGGGACCCAGTTACACAGGTTGGCAGGTGGGGGAATTGCTTGAATTGTGGGACCCAGGGCCTGGAGCTGCTTTGAGTAGGTGAGGGGGCAGGGCCATGAACACCGGAAGTGCAGTGGAGGGACACAGGGCCTAGGGACATGCCAGACACGTGAGAACGTTCTGCTCACTGTCCTGATCGCCCTGTCGGTCAGTCCAGCTGGCTCCTGCCACCCTCTGAGTTCCAGCAGTGGGTTCCCAGCATGTGTCCACTGTCCTGATTGCCCTGTCGGTCAGTCCATCTGGCTCCTGCAACCCTCTGAGTTCCAGCAGTGGGTTCCCAGCATGTGTCCAAGGCCAGCAGAGGGTATGTGGGGAAGACGACTGAAAAGACACTGGGAGCAGATACCCAGAGCTGGGGTTTGCCTCTGCATCTCTGTGTAGTCATCTGAGACTCTTTTAGGGAAGCGGTTGAAATAAAGGAAGAGGCTGCCATCTTCATTCTTTATATTCCTGCTAATAGCATAACCGGGTCCCCTCCCCTAGAGCGACCCCTATAATCCATTCATTTTCTCTGAATGCCTCTCCCTGTAGGTCTCCTCTTCAGACCCCATTGCTTGCTAGGGATCTCTGCTGTCCCTGTGGCTCTCTAACCCTTAAGATTCCTCTGCTCCCCACAACCCCCGCCCACAACCTCCACTGACCTTTCAAACACTCATGGGGAAGAAGGCAGACAATCCACGGCCCATAGAGAGATTTAACCCACCGGCCCCACATCCCTTCCCACCTTCGCTGTGGCTCTTAACCGAACTTTCTACAAAACCACAGCTCTATCCTAGAGGGTGGCAGTTATTTTAATGGCCAGGAACCAAGAGGTTACTGTTCTGTTGCAAAAACACCATTAACTTAAGAACAAAGTGAAATCCATTATGCAAATACAGCTAGGACAGCTAATTACAGATTTATTCCAGAGGCAGCTAATGCGCCCAGCACCCAAATAAAGGAGCATGTCTCACTGAAGGGTGGCCCGGCTAAACGACCCCTCTCTGTCAGCCATCTGTGAATACTGCTGAGTTTCGGCTACTAAAAGAGGTGGTGAGGCCTTGGAGGGCACCCTTCTCCCCAGCAGACAAGGAAGTAACTAAAAAATGATGTTAGGAGAGTCTCTGGAATCTTTCAGAGGGGACATGATTCTGGAGAACGGGCTGGAACTTGACTTTGTGCTCTACCTCTTACTGGCTGCGTGACATTGGAAAAGTTTGTGTACTTCTCTGTGCCTCATTTTTATTTCACAAGGCTTTGTGGAGGATTAAATGAGACTTTTTCTTTAAGAGAAGGAGTGGGGAGGGGCAGAGGGCGAGGAAGAGAGAGACTATTAAGCAGGCTCCACGCCCTGAGGAGCAGTTGTGGGGCTTGATGTCACAACCCTGAGATCACGACCTGAGCTGAAATCAAGAGTCAGAGGATTAACCAACTGAGCCACCCAGGTGCTCCTTAAACGAGACTCTCATGAAGTACTTGGCATAGAGCCTAACCCCTTTCGATAAATGGCAGCTCGTTCTACCTATTTTGCACCAGCTGTATCCTATCTCCATCGCACAGGGAGGAAGAAGGGCAAAGGGAGACAGGTGGGATGCAGCAACTGTGGACATCAAGGAGAATGGCGGCTGGAACGAGGGAAAGGAACGCTTGGGTAGGAGATTCTCATCTCACCGTCCTCCTCTTGGCAGGAGGACAGGAATTTGGAGGGGCTGTGGGACCCGGTGGACCTAGCTCTACATGTCAGCTCTGACACATTTAGGTGTGTGGTTTGGAGCAAGCTGTTTAACCTCTGTGAGACTCAGCGTTCTCACCTGTAAAGGAGGGGTGCGGATTTCATGGGACTATGGTGAGGATGAGTCTGTGAAGGGCTTCGAGTGGTACTGACCAATCCTTCGTCATCACCATCACCGCCATCATCCCGTATTTAGCGCTCGTGATAAGAAACTAAGGCTGTTTTAAAAGTGCTCAGGACGGGGCGCCTGGGTGGCTCAGTGGGTTAAGCCTCTGCCTTTGGCTCAGGTTATGATCTCGGCATCCTGGGATCAAGCCCCGCATCAGGCTCTCTGCTCAGTGGGGAGTCTGTTTCCCTCTCTCTCTGCCTGCCTCTCTGCCTACTTGTGATCTGTCAAATAAATAAACAAAATCTTAAAAAAAAACAAAACTCAACACATGTTAACTCACTTAATTCTCCCCATAAGCTATGAAAGGGTTGCTACTGAGCCGTGAGGGTCTTAACCTGTTAGTGCAAATCGCAAGCCCTATTCTTAGTGTCGAATAGGGCTTGGCAGACTTTTTCCAGAATGGCCGCATAGTATTTTAGACTTCGCAGGCCGTATGGTCTCTGTTGTAACTGTTCAACTCTGCCAGTTACCCAATACTGCCATTGTAGTGGGCAAGCAGCCCCCGATGATGCGTAAATAAATGAGCATAGGTGTGTGCCAATAAAACCTTATTCGTGGATGCTGAAATTTCATTCACTTTTCGTGTTGCGAAATATTCTTTTTAAATCAACCATTAAAAAATATAAAAATCATCTTGGCTTATATGACAAACAAGAATAGGTGGTAGACCTGATCTGGTTCCTGGGTCATAGTCTGCTGGCTGGTTTAGAAGATACTTCAGACTGGTGACCTTGTCCGTCCCTTCTGTTCAACAAACTGATGTCTAAATCATCCCGGGTCGAAAGACTGCTAATGTATATTTAAAGCCAGGAACATATCGTAGACCCTCTGGAAAGACCATTCTGATGTCTTACCTTCCCAGTTATGAAAAATGAAGAGTAAAGTGAATGTGCTTTGGAAAATCTTTCAAGCTCAACAGGGGGCTAGGCGTTGCCATTATTATTATTATTATTACCATTATCAAGTCCTTTCTTGTGGCTAATCAGATTTACACAGGCCCACTCATTTATTTGGTTCTTTGACTCAGGAACACAGAATGGATACTTCCCATTTCTGGCTTTTGTTCTTGATTCTTATTTTCTAAATGATTCATCATCTTCGTGGTTCTTATTCTCCTAGGTGCTGCTGGGAGAACGAGCACAACATCATAATCTAACTGATAGATACGAGTGTATTTTCTTAAGGCTATCTGATGGTGATAACAAACAAACAAACAAGCAAGTATCTTCGGGAGTTGGTCGCTAAGGCAGCTGTCCGATTCTTTATATTCTGTTCTGACTCTTTCCGTGACAGTGGCATACTCAACCTGGGTGGGCTCAGGATATTTGCATAGATGCCGGGTACAGATGACCCGTGTGTCAGATCACAAGGTCTGAGTGTTTTGTGATGTGTACAGCCGGGACCCTGATACCACCAGCAAATCCCAGCTCTGGGGCCCTTCTCTCGCTTGCCCTGCCTTTTCCCTTTGAGTCCTAAATATCTAGCTCCTGACCCAGGCTGCCCCTGCTTAGCTGACAATATCAGACAAGATCACAGCCGTAGGCAATACAGCCGCTGGCAGAACCTGGCGGGCCCCCTCCGCAGCTGCTGCTTCCTGTGTCTGTGAAGTGTCTGGCTTATCAGCCACATCCCCTCCCCGGAGCAGTCTTTGTTAACCAATTCCACCTCGGCCCACTGAGCGGAAGATGAAAGCCAAGAGCTCCTCCAAAACCAACAAAGACAGCAGCCATTACTCAGTCTCTTCCCCAAGGTGACTCTGGGAGCCTGCTTGACTGGCATTTTTTAACCCCCGGAGGGGGAAGTGGGAGCCGGGGATGGGAGGTGGCAGGTGCAGGGAGAGCTCTGTGCCCCTCCCAGTGGCTCCCTTCTCCATTCGGCCTCCCGTCCTGCTGTAGTAACGGGTGGAAATCCCTGATCACCAGCTCCTTACATCACGTCCGAGGCTTTGTCGGCTAGAGGAGTCAACAAGGCCCTTGGGAGGATTCTTCGATTACCTCTTCCTCGTGTTGGATCCAGCTAGGGCTGGGGGAAAGCACAGCTCATACCTCATTCTCTGTGCTCAGCTGACGGCATGCTGGGAGCTGCACTCTTTCCAGGGTCCCTGACAACCCAGTCTTTCTTCAAGGAGCTTCTCTCTAGGCCAGCCCTGACCAGGCATTTCCTGGACCTTTCTTCTTCTTCTTCCTTTTTTTTTTTTTTTTTTTTTTTTTTTTGCGATGGCCTTATCTCTTCTCATTCCTCTCCTCCCAAACTTTTGTAGCCTAGGTCTGAGTCGAAAAAGAGAGGAGGGAGGCCCAGAGCACAGGGGTGAGAAATTGGTGCAGAATGAGCGGTCTGTTTATTGGGATCTAGGAAAAGCCATTAAGAAAATAAGCACTTAAATGATTTTCAATCTGCCCATGGAAGTCATCTATCTTCATACTGGGGAGAAAAGACCCATTCTCTGATCCCGGTTTTGACTGACTGATTTCCAATTCTCGAAGCATTTCCCACAGGAGCCTCTCACCTATCTCCCATAATGACAGGCCTTTGCATTCGCAGGCAGTGTTTTACATTTATTTCCGATTTGCTCATAATGGTCAAAAATCTCTCTCCAATCCGAGGCATTTCTCCAGCAGTGCACGGTTTCCCTCAGGCCAAATAGCTCAGCTGTGATCCACGGAAAATGAGAATTTCCCAAACGCATCTTCGGACTAGGGGAGGGTCCAGCATCACAAATTCAGATGGAAAATTTCCCACTGTTAGATCAATATCTGGGCTAAGAAATAAATGCCACAGGGGCAGAGAGCTGGAGCAAAATGATTACAATCGGCACAATTACATTCACCGGCAGAATCAGCTCACTGATTACTCCCGGGGATGGGAGCTCCGGCTTCATACACCATGGGACGGCTTGGGAATTAGAACATCACTCAGCATTTCAGAATTCGACAGATTGGTCTGTTGTCTTGGCCTGAGTTTGTTTTCCCCATACAGCACCTTCCTGTAAGAGGAGTTCAGACTTCAAAGAAAGAAGGAAGGAAGGGAGGGAGGGAGAGAGGAAGGGAGGAAGGGTGGAAGGGAAGGAGCTAAACTGTAGGGTACGTGGGAGACCATGGTGGGTATACTGCAGGCAGGGGTTGGGATAGGCTGCTCTGAGATTCCTGAGCCAGGGATCTGACAGGATAACTGCTAAGGTGAGGGTTAAGCCCATCTTCCCCAGAATCCCATCCAACCCCAACCGCATCCAGTAAAAAGGGCTCAGGGTCATACACTTGTGTGACTTCTTAATGATTCCCTTTACCTGACTGAGAGGAGTGTCCTAGGCAAGTTTTCATTACCTGAGAACCAATCTGAAGTCCTTTTGGGGGCCATGGGGAAAGGCCCCTGCTGGCTAGTGGGGATTCAACAGCATCTTCCTTCTGCAAAGCTTTGAAGAGGCAGAGGCGCTCAATTCTTTTTGCTGGTGCTCAATGCCGGGTAGGCGGGGGCCATGGCGAATGGATTGGGCACGCTGCGCGGCTCTGTGTACTGACACCGGCCCCAGGGCCCGCTGTGTCCCTACCCCCGCCCAATCTTCTCTTTAATCCCCCCAACCAGATAATGTGGGATTTGGAAGCATGTAATATCCATGAGACTCCATTATAGGCTATTATGAGCTTTATACACAGAACCTGGGGGATGTACCAGGCCGATGCTGGTCACCGCAGCTGCTGAAAGGGAGAGGGACTGCGGCACTGGTCCCAAGGGCTGAAGTGACCCTTACATTGTTCAGATCCGTTCCCACCGAACGTATAGATCGGCTCTGGTCTCTCGCGACAGAGAGATGGGAAATATTAAAGAAAAACAGCGTTCACTTCCCTAGAGAGTAAGAAGCAGAAAGGGAAGTAGAGGGAGGAACAAAACCATAGAATCACTGGGATTGAGCCCTCTGCTGGAACCCTCAGAGACCACCTCCTGGTGTTTCTGCACGAGTGCGCTGTCCGCATTTCGGTGGGCTCTCACTGAGCTTTGCAGGGTCAGCCCACTTAATGTGAGGAGCCATGCCCAGGCATTGTGGCAACTTAAAAAATGGCCCATGCCTGGTCCCTGTGTCCCAGGGTTGGGGCAGGAGCACCAATAGGCCAGCCGGCATGCATTACAGAGGAATCTGGGGCCTGGAGCAGTACGCAACCCAAACATCAGGAGGCGTCTGCCCAGACAGGACCCAGAGCCTCTGATTCCCCAGGAGCCTTTCCAGGAAACAGACAGCCTCAGAGGGGGACCTGAGAGATGCGCAGTAAGGGATAGAACATGATATGAGGGGAAAAGGGCCACAGGAAAAGAAAGAGCAGGGCGGTGGAGGAGGGGGGAAAGAGGATAAAGAATCAAGATCAGGGGCACCTGGGTGGATCAGTCGGTTGGGCGTCTGCCTTCGGATAGGGTCATGGTCCCTGGGTCCTGGGATCAAGCTCCCTCTCCCACTTCCCTCCCCGCTTCTCATGTGTATTCTGTCTGTCCCAAATAAATAAAATCTTAAAAAAAAAAAAAAAGAATCGAGATCAGAATAGTGAGTGGGCCAGGGGATGGAGGAAGAGGAAGAAACACCTACCACTCTAGCTGCAGCGTAAAGAGGATTTCCGATGTCTGCCCTCCAGGGCGGGATGGATCCTGAGAGGATGGAGGGACAAGCAAACCAATAGTGAGACCCAGGGGCAGACTTGGGAATGGGCAGGCAGCCAGCTCAGGAATACTGAATGTGACCCTAATGACAGCATTGAGATGACTTTACCAGTTCTTTTTATTTTATAAACATATAAATATATATACATATGTATATATATTTAAATATTTTATTTACTTACTTGGCAGAGAGAGGGAACACAAGCAGGGGGAGTGGGAGAGGGAGAAGCAGGCTTTCCGTTGAGCAGGGAGCCCAATGCGGGGCTCGATCCCAGGACGCTGGGATCATGACCTGAGCCGAAGGCAGATGCTTAACGACTGAGTCACCCAGGCGCCCCTTATATATATATTTTTTAAGATTTATGTATTTATTTGAAAGAGAGAGAGCTTGCGTGAGCATGAGCAGGGGGAGGGACAGAGGGAGAGAATCTCAGCAGATTCACCGCTGAGCTTGGAGCCCCACACGGGCTTGATCCATGACCCATGAGATCATGACCTGGACCTAAACCAAGAGTTGGACGCCCAACCAACTGAGCCACCCAGGCGCCCCCATTTTTTTTTTTTTAATCTTTCGCAGTAGGCTCCATGCTCCACTGACTGAGCCACCCAGGTGCCCTGACTTTACCAGTTCTTTGCACAGGGTCCCTTGATGGGACCCTTGCTAAAGAATGAGAACGAATGGCCCAGGGCCCTGACTCATACCCTCACCCATATGCCTTTATTTATTTATTTATTACAGGCAGACTGGGCTACTGCTGCTGGGAATGAAGGAGAATTCAGAATTAAAAACCATCCAGGCCACTTTGTCTCGACAGGGGGTGGAACACCAGTGTCTCTCCGCTGAGGAACTAAAGCAATGTTTCCCCAATGTTCGGTTGGCCAGGGGAGAAGTGGGGCTCTTGGACAAGTCTGGAGGGGTTCTCTATGCAGACAGGGCCCTCAGAGCCCTCCAGGTAATACGTACAACATTTGGGGCAAGGTGTGGCCGATGAGGGCCTTCACCCTGCTGGGTTTATTCTGGACCTTTTGGGCAAGGCACTTTATATATGCTGCTAGGCCTTGTCACTATGGGACAGGAGGTCTGGAGTCTGTGCTCTCTGTTCCGCCGGAAGTGAGGGACTCTCTTGTTCACCAGGGTGAACCATACAGAGAGCTAACTCATTTGCCCATCCCTGCCGCTGCCCTTTCAGGATGCAATTCAGCGTCTCGGAGGCCTAGTGCATGATGGAGAGAAGGTGGAGGAGATAAAACCAGGGCAACCCATCACAGTGAGAAGTACTTCCAGGAGCTACCAAGCCAGAAGCTTGATCATCACAGCAGGTCCTTGGACTAACCGGCTCCTCCGTCCCCTGGGAATTGAGCTGCCCCTCCGGGTAAGGGGTTGTTGGAAGCCCGAGAATTGGTGCCTAAGAGAAGATGCCTGGGAGTCTGGTGGACTCAAGCTTGAGTCCCAGAACTGCTACTTGCTGGTGGACGAACGTGGGCTGACTAGTTCCCCTCAAGAGCCTCAGTTTTATAACATGTAAAATGGGGATAGGGCTGTTGGAGAATTAGGTGATCGAATCAATAGAAAGCCCTCGGGAACTCACTAAATCTGAGGCATTAGTAAGTGCTTCAGAGAGAAGTAGGGCTGAGTGCAGTTATGGGAGACTAAGTCTGGGGGAAGAGACAGAGATGTGGAGATCTTTATGTCTCATATTAAAATGGAACAGACCACCAATGTGAGAATTGGGTAAAACAGGATAGACAGGTTAAGGGGGGGCATCCAGGCTTGTATTCAAGAGCTATAGGACCTCAGAAGAAACTGTTCTCACCGTCTGGACAGTTTCATGGCTTTTCCCCTTCATCTCCCACTTCCTCTTTCTACTTCAAGACCCTGCGGATCAATGTATGTTACTGGCGAGAGAAGGTTCCTGGAAGCTATGGTGTATCCCAGGCCTTTCCTTGCTTCCTGGGGCTGGGCCTCAGCCTGGCTCCCCACCACATCTATGGGCTGCCTTCCGGAGAGTACCCAGGGCTGATGAAGGTGAGCGGAAAGGCCCAGAGGGGGCTAGTAGGACCCATCCACCCCCGACCCTCAGATTTGGGGCAGTTGCTCTAACTCCCCTTTCAACAGATTCCAGGGATCCCCCAGCAGCAGGAGCGGAGAACACTTCCCTATTCGTTATTTGCAATGCAAGACACCCCACCCCCCAAGCTGTCCGGAGGCCCAACAAAGGGAACCCTTCCTTGGCAAACATGGGGCTGTGGGTGGGGTGGGGGGGTGTAGAAGGAACAGCCAAGGGAACCTCCTGTGGCAACAAACGGCACCTGTCAGGGCTGGGGATGGCTGGGATGATGGATGGGGGCACTCTGTGCACGAGCCTGCCCCCTGGGCTGGGTGGGTGTTCGGGGAAGGCCCGGCCCCTTGCCACTGCTCACACTGCTCTGATTGGGAGCTAGGTCTGCTATCACCACGGCAACGATGCAGATCCTGAGGAGCGGGACTGCCCGGAAGCATTCTCAGACGCCCAAGACATCCACATTCTGAGCCGCTTTGTTAGAGATCACTTACCTGACCTAGAGCCCAAACCTGCCATTATGGAGCGCTGCCTGTATACGGTAAGGGTGTGGGCAGCCTGGCCAGGCCCAGCCCCTTCACGGGCCCCGGGAACAGGGGAAGGAGACAGACCCTGCACAGCTCAGGCTTGCTGCTGTTTGACCCCTGACCTGGTAGGTGACTTGAAACGAATGACTTCTTTCCGTGGGTTTGGTTCCCCTCCATATCCGAGAGGGCCCATGAGAGGTTTTCATATTCCTTTTCATTAGCAGACTAGGCTTATGCCTGGCAGCCCCTCGCGACGTTTCCCAGAAGAGCTCTAAAAGATTTTTTGGCAAGATGTTCTAGTTGAACAGGCCGTAGGGATGAAGAGAAGAGACAGATGTCACCAGGGCCCGAGGCGTCTTGGCTAAAGTTAGTTTACATGCATTCACTGAGCACCTACTGGGTTCATAGCCCTGGATGAGAGGAGAGGCAGATGGACAAATGAGAAAGATTGTCGCCCCTGGAGGGGGCGCTGGCATGCAGAATGCATTCCCGTGCCCCGTTCCCATTCTTTCTGGAAAGCAACCCAGCCTCTTCCCCTCCCCCCGAACCTGCAGTTCTTCCTTCTCCTTCTCTCCTCGAAGGACCTCGAAGGACACCAGTGTGATTGTTTCTTTCTAGAACACCCCCGATGAGCACTTTGTTCTTGATCGCCACCCGAAGTATGACAACATTGTCATTGGTGCTGGATTCTCTGGTGAGCCTGAGTGGGGCAGGATGTGCCTCAAAGCCCACCTATCTCACTGTCAGGCAAAATGGCGTCTTCTACGCTCTGGGCTGGCCAAGGCCTAGACTTGAGTGTACAAAGGGGCTGGGTGGGCAGATAGAGAAGAAGAGGTACTTCTGGTGGGAGGCAACTTCCCATGTTGGGATGTGGACCAAGAAGAGAGTTAGCCCAATTTGGGGAGAGGGTGGTAGACATCTAGGCCGTTGTCCATGAGGATGCCTGATCTCACCTTCTCTCCTTTCCGTAGGGCATGGATTCAAGCTTTCCCCTGTTGTGGGGAAGATCCTGTATGAATTAAGCATGAAATTAACACCATCCTATGACTTGACACCTTTTCGAATGAGCCGCTTCCCTGGCCTGTGTAAAGCCCACCTTTGACCCCTGGCCAGCTTTAACCTCTGGCTATTAAATGGCAGCCTGTTCCCTTGCCTCTCTTGAGTCCCCTGTCAACAGCGGATGATTGAATCGACCTTCTTTCTCTGGCCAGCTCCCCATCCCACTACTTTCTTGCTTCCAGAAGGTCAACCAGATATTCTATCATCACCAAGTAACAAGGACCTTTGAGACGGATGTCTCAATAAGGAGGATGCCCAGGGATGGGCTCAGGGAACCCAAGCAGTTGTTACAATTGTCTTCCATGAGACGTTTATAAACTTGGAGTGGTTTAACTGAAGCAGCCCAGGGGAGGGTAAATAAAATGATTTGTAGATTGCTACTGACCTTGGAGTTCCTTTTCCTAAAACTAGAGCCACCCTTCATCACAACCCCAGCCCCACAAATCTGGCTCACCTTGGGTGTGCAGTAAATGTTTGTTGAAAAAAATGTGTTGGAAAAGCAAAGAAATGAAGAGCTGCATTGCATTCAAGTCTGCAGTGGGCTTTCTTCTTCATGCGACCTTACTTTTTAGAGACGCTTGTTGTCTAAATCAGCGCCAGAGTCCATAACCCCAAGAATTCTTGGGATCTTTATCCCCTCAGTGCCCTGCACCCTCTTTCCCTGGATCCTTTGTCTGGTTCTCATCCTCTCTCTGGCTCTGTAAAGACACTTAGCTCCCCAGTCTCTCATTAGGGTGTATTGTCAGGTCCTTATGAAGATGGAGCTGTTATACCAGAAAGGAAGAGAGAGACACACTCGCTTAGAAACCCTGTTCAATGTTTGAATGTTAAATGTGCCATTTTATTATCATTAGGATTGCTCCCACTTAATGAAACGGCATTAGCACCGAGTCGGCTGGCCTCCTTGCACTAATTACTTTGGAAGGGAACAGGCTCATAACGACCCCAGGGTGGGTGAGGGGGGTGAGGGGTGGAAACCTGGACTTGGGGGATGTGTGCTGGGCGGAGACCCCAGTGGGAGCATCTCCAGACCAGGTTGGTTTGACCTGAGAGCTTGCCTGCTCCGGGGAGGAAAAGGAAAAACCCTGCGACCAGTTGGGGCAGAAATGTGAGAAGGCGGCCCTGAGGGGGAAGAGTGGGAAATGGGAGTAGGAGTAAAAATATCCCCAAAGGAAAGACAACACAGAGGGAATTGCCTCATAGGCCCAGGCACACAGATCCGCCCTGATTTCTCCAGGGCATTTTAAAAACCAGACAGCGTCCCCAGCCCCCTGCCGGGTCTGCATCTTGGGTGCTCTCAGAGGCTCCCCGAACCTCAGCCTCCACAAAATGGGACTAATCACATCTGTAAAGTCGGAATAATGCGCCACAATGTGGATGAGCCTTGCAGACATGCCGCTAAGTGAAATAAGCCAGACACAAAAGGACAGACCCTGGAGGGTTCCACTGACAGCAATCAGATGGAGAAGGATGGGAGGTGGAGTGGTTGCCAGCAGGGGCTGGGGAGAGGGGGCGCAGGAGACGTTAGTGTTTAATGGACATAGGGTTTCAGTTTGGGAAGATAAAGACGTTCGGCCGATGGATGGTGGTGATGGTTTGGATGATGTGGGAAAGAGGTTAGGGTTCCAAACTGACGGCCAAGGTAGAATTCTTGAGACATGTTTGGTGCTGAAAGGTGGTTTTATTAAAGCAAGGGGACAGGGGTGCCTGGGTGGCTCAGTGGGTTAAAGCCTCTGCCTTCGGCTCAGGTCATGATCCCAGGGTCCTGGGATTGAGCCCCACATCAGGATCTCTGCTCAGCGGGAAGCTTGCTTCCTCCTCTCTCTCTCTGCCTGCCTCTCTGCCTAACTGTGATCTCTGTCTGCCAAAAAAAAAAAAAAAAAAAAAAAAAAAAGGCACGGGGACAGGACCCGTGGGCAGAAAGCTGTGCTGGGGTCGTGAGGACTGGCAGATTATGTACTTTCAAGTTGGGAGGGGGTTAGGGATGGCGTAAGCCTCCCAGGTATTTTGGAAACGAGGTATCCTGGATTTTTTTTAAAAAAAGATTTTATTTATTTATTTGACAAGTAGGCAGAGAGAGGCAGGCAGAGGGGTGGGGGGAGCAGGCTCCCCGATGAGCAGAGAGCCTGATGTGAAGCTTGATCCCAGGACCCTGGGATCATGACCTGAGCCGAAGGCAGAGGCTTAACCCACTGAGCCACCCAGGCGCCCTAGTTTCCTGGATCTTGAGGGGTCTAGCTCTTGTTGGGAAAAGTTCATTTATTACTGTTTAGTAAACCCACAGTCATGAGACCCTTCAGATGTATATCGGTGGTTCCTATGCTTGGGGGATGATTGCCAACATGTATCTTGGGGTGGGGTGGGTAGAGATAAAGGAAGTTTCCAAAGGAATTTTTATATGTTAAAGAAAACTTACAGGATCCTGGAGGGTTGGGCTAAGATTGCCTTTTGCCTTTAGCAAGGTATTAACATCCAGGTAGCTGAGGCCGTAGAGGAATGTCCCTAGCCTGTTTCAAGGACTTGTCAATGGGCTGTAGATAGTAAGGAAATGTAATAATTTTTCTTCTGCCTTTGTTTCCCATATCAGTTTCACACCATTTTTTAAAAATAATTTTTAAAAAGATTTTATTTATTTATTTAACAGAGAGAGACACAGTGAGAGAGGGAACACAAGCAAGGGGAGTGGGAGAGGGAGAAGCAGGCTTCCCGTGGAGCAGGGAGTCTGATGTGGGGCTCCACCCCAGGACCCTGGGATCATGACCTGAGCCGTTAATGACTGAGACACCCAGGCGCCTCCCACAACATCATGTTTTAATCACATCGCAAATGTGGTTTGAGGGTACTTACTACCTAAGGGAGGGTACTTAGGGATGCCTGGAGGGTTGAGTCAGTTAGGCGTCTGACTCCGTTTCGGCTCAGGTTGTGATCTCAGGGATGTGATCTCAGGGTCATGAGATGATCTCTGGAGTCTGGCTCATGTCCAGCGGGGAGTCTGCTTAAGATTCTCTCTCCCTTAGGGCACCTGGGTGGCTCAGTGGGTTAAGCCTCTGCCTTCAGCTCAGGTCATGGTCCCTGGGTCCTGGGATCCAGCCCTGTATGGGGCTCTCTGCTCAAAAGGGAGCCTGCTTCCTCCTCCCCCTCTGCCTGCCTCTCTGCCTACTTGTAATCTCTCTCTCTCTGTGCCAAATAAATAATAAATAAAATCTAAAAAAAAAAAAGACTCTCTCTCCCCTGCCTTCTGCATACACCCCCCCCAAATAATAAATAAATAAATCTTTAAAAGAGAGAGAGAGAGAGAGAGAGAGAGTGCACTTAATGCCATGGAACTGTTACACTTAAAAATGATTAAAATCATACATTTCATGTTTTGTATGTTTTACCACCATAAAAAAAAATGGGAATAATAATACGGACTAACTTTACAAGAGTGTGTGGGGATCGAATGAGATCATTTATCCCATCCACAAATATTTATTGAAATTCCGCAATGTGGTGGGGACTGTACTAAGCATTGTGGATGTACCTGTGAACAAAATTTTGCTCTCATGGTGTTCACCCAGTCCAGTGAGAAGACATACAAACAATATGTATGAGTAAATGATATCCTAATGTGGAAGGTGACAAGTGTGTTGGGAAAAAGAGCAGGGCAGGGAAGACAGGATGCTGGGGGAGGGGTGCCCTCTGCCACATTGGTGATCGGGGTGATGGGGTGATGGTCGTCTGAGGGGGACACTCAGTGGGGATGGGCATTGGAGCAACCCCTGGAAGAGAGGGAGCACACCATGAGGAGATCGGGATATGTGTAGGAGAATGTGGTCAGCTGTAAAGCGAGGTATTGTGTTATTACCAAGAAAGAGATAAATGGGGTTACAAAGATCATCGGAGGAACGTGCCATCTTTAAGGCTGGCAAAATTGGGGAGAAAGGGTGTTGGGAACCTCTCCCTCTCATTCAACGGCTTCCTGCCTGTAGTTCCCTTTGCCTCTGCTTCTCCCAGTATGGCCCTCCTCCCCCAGCCAGCTGCAGCTCCCCTTCCAAAATATCCAGTCTTATTCAGCTTGCTGGTGACAGTAAAGGAGGGGACCAATGTCTAGAAGAGGCTGAGAAAGGACAAGTGGGGGATGCTGACACAAGCCCTGCCCAAACTGGTGTGTCCTAGAAACCCGAATGCCGGGGAGGGGTGCGGCGGGGGCGGGTGGGGGTGGGAAGGGGTGTGTGTGTGTGGGAGTGATGAGGTCAGGGCAAGGAGTGGAGACAAAAAGGAACTGGAGAAGAAACTGGTAATATGCAGGCCAAGAAGGCAGGTGAGGACCTCCAGGGAGGCTGCCCGTCCCCAAAGCCAGAGGAAATTGGTCCGGAATGGCCAAGAGCATTTCTTATTGATGCTGGGGTGGGGTCCTAGAGGCAAAGAGGGGATATAGGGACAGAGGAGAGGAAATGCCACTGAAGAAGGCAGGGGTGGGGGTAGGGAGACAACCAGAGGGTTTTAGAACCACTAAAGCATTTGCTAAAACAGACCCACCAACATTATCTCCCTGCTGCCCTCCTGCCCTCCCCCCTGTGGCCAGGCACCCCCTTTCAGGCAGACCCTACATATCTTCAAGATGGAGGAAAATCACAGCGCATCGGGTAGGCAATGAGAGACCTCTGGAAGGGCAGCTAGGGTCTGCACAGGCTGCAGGGGAGAGATAAGGGCAGAGAAGGGAAAGAGGCCGGCATGGTTGCCAACCAGACTAAGGAAAACAGAGGCAGGCTAAAAATAGGTTGGGGGGTGGGGAGGGAAGAAAGCCAGTCCAGAAAAGAAGGGAAAGCAGAAGCAATCGATGCCATTGAGACTCTGACCCAATTCTTCATCTCTCAGCTTCACCAAACTGAAAAGCTAGAGAGGGATATGGGGAAAGGGAAAGACTGGCACGGAGGGGCCAGAGTCAGAGGAAAGAATCGGAGTCCTAAGACCTAGGCATCTGAGGAGCACAAGTCAGTAATCATGGCCCTGAAAAGAGGGGGTAACGTGTAGGTAGTGCTCGAGTACTTGTGGGAGTCTGGTATCCCGGGACGGGCTTAAGGAGTGTGAGTATGACTTGGAAGGAGGAGGTTCAACTGTCTAAAAAGGTAACAGGAAGCAACAAGGACGAGTTAGTCTGGAGACTGTAAGCGAGGGTGACTTGATACTTGACTTTTACTTCCCAGAAAGGTGATGAAAGAGAATTTGCGGGGTGCCTGGGTGG